TCAGCTTGAGAACTGAAGTCTCATTTTCATCTGTTCTTTACTTGATGAATACTTTTCCATCCATTATTGATGAAAAATGTCTTAATCAAGTAGAAATTGAATTTTCCATGTATCAAGTAGATGATTTGAAAGAAATTGTAGATTTGCGTATTGATATAGCATGGGGAGAAATCGCCAAATTAAAAAATATGAATGGGTGTATTAAATACAAAGTATTGCCTTCTGTAATGCTTGCTGTCTTAATAATACCTCATTCAAATGCAGCTTGCGAAAGAATTTTTTCTATTGTTAAAAAAAATCAGACGGAATTTCGACCAAATTTAGGTCTTAAAACTCTTGAAGCAGTTTTGATTGAAAAAATAAATATGCAGGCAAATGAAGAACTGTGTTATAAAAAAAACATTCTCAAAATCAAAACTTAAGCTTGCTAAGCATGCTACATATAAATCTTTGCATTCATAAATTATGCGTATTTTGTTTAATACTTATATGTATCATTCTTGGTTATTTAAATTTTATTTCCCTGTAGAAATCATATCCAGAATAAAGATATGATTTATAGCTTCTGATTTTTCTATGATTAGTAGTGATTTGAAGTACTTTTTATTAGTGAATGCTTGAGGAGTTAAAAGAAAATTTCTAATTAAATGTGCATATAATTTATAAGGTATATTTTTAATTATTCAGTTTTATATGTATATGGGATTTTAAATGTAATAAAATTGATTACGATAATTATTAAATTAAATTAATAATTATTATTAATTTAAAATTAATGAATGGTTAATTACAACATACGCTACGTGCACATTTTCAAAGTTGTAAAAATGTCGATCGCGCGTTGACTACTGACAAGGTTTGCTGAAGGTTGGAGTCTATGGGTTCGTGATTGAATGAATGCACTCAGAAGCGATGCTAGCTTTATAAAATTTATTTTACTCAAAAGAAACTTGTCATAGTTCTGGAACGTTCCACAAAAGTACTCATACAGCTCTTCTCCTTATGACAGAGCACAATCAGTAATTACCCCTTCAAACTATTAAGAAATTGCTTAGTGCAAAATACTAAGAATGTTAGCAGTTATATATAGGATCAATTACAGTTTTTCAAATACAATAATAATTACATTTATACAGGGACTGAACCCAAATGGGGACTTTTGGCAATATATTGCCAAATTTGGCAGCCGAAGATTTGTCGCTAAACCCATCACCTGCTTGGCGATATCGCACCAATTTAGGGGGATAGCCATTTACTCAATGTTAAACAAACTTGCCCCTGTGTTCTTATTTTTCCAGCAGAGCATCTTCTCTTTCAAGCATTTCATGTTACATTATACAAAAAATGCTATATTTTCACATATAATTTCGAAAAAATTATTTATATATGTACAAAATTCGTAACGATAAACAAAAACTTATTCATTTGATAAAACATATTCATTTAATTTAAACTTATAAAACTTAATATATAAACATATTAATTTTTATAACATTCCTGACATAACATTAAATAATTTTTTGTAAAATAATAAAAAATTAAAACAAATATTTTTTAAGAATATTTCTTGCAAGGATTTTTTTTCCCCCTGGGGTATTTTTTTTCTGGCATATATTTTAGAGTGATATCCTTTATGACCATCAGTTAAAATAAAATCAGTTTTCTCTCTGAAGAAAGTTAAAATCGGGGGAGGGGGGGACTTTCGAAACCAGAAAAATGAGAGTTTCCAACAGGGTATGAATGATTTCAATCATGATTTTAATCAGTGGATTTGTTAACGAAGGATCATTCATTGGAATCAGATATTGTCCCATTTCTTTTAAAGCAAATAAAATGTGTTAAAATCAAAAATTAAGATAATCTATAATGCTTTTAAAAAAGATTTGGTACTTTTCCATTTTTCCGGCCCAAGCTATAAAGTTGCCAAAAATGGTGCAACCAATGCCAAACAGAATATCCTCACTGGTAACTTTTTACGTCTCATTTTCAAAACAAGTCACAGCCATTTCTTATCAAATTGATCGTTTCTTTCAATACTGTCATACAATTACATAGAATTTTTACCAGACAGTTCAATTTTATGCACCAAGGCCATTCGTGGTAATTAAGTCAATTAGGATGCAATCACACTGCTCATCCGAAGACAAAAATATAGAAAAGGCAGCCAAGGGTTAAATTCATCAATTCTAATGAGAATGCACTAGTGAAGTAAAGCACTGTGGTTTTACATGTTTTCTGAGTAAGCTATTCGTACAAATTGAAACAATTCTTGCATTTAAACTTGTATTCCAAATTAAGATTTAACTTGAAATTAATGTAGACAATTACTGAGAGAATTAGATTTTTGTAGCATAGTTTACATGAGATGAGTTTACTTGGGATCACATGTTATGAAACGGTGAATTAGGATGTTGTACCATGAAAGCATAGTAAATTCTTAAATTGATGTCTTTTTACAAATTTATCATCAATATTTATTGTCTTTTTACAAAATTTTAAATGATATTAAAATGTTTATGCCTTCAAAATAAAAATTTCTTAAAACTAACATTTGTTGACATTTTTTATGTGTATACTATGTGTTGTCGCCAATAAAGACTGCTTGGTGAGATTTGTGCCGGCGAAATGGGAAAGTAGCAAAGATTTTAACTACTCAGTATGAAAAATGAAACTTTTTAAAAAATTAAATAATTTAAAATGTTTTAAACAAGTCATGGTAATATAATGCAAGAAAATGTGTCACTTCTATCAAGTGTTAGATGTAAATATGGCATTGAGTGCACTAATTCAAAACCTGTTATGCATGATCTAAGTAAGTATGCTTTAAAAGTGCCATCTTCTCAAAACTGTATAAAATATTTGATGACAGATTTTGTTCTTTTTTGCAGAAATTCCAGTCCATTTTATTTTTTCTCTTGGTAACAAAGTCAGGTAACTTGTGTTATTTACCACTTGCATTCTTTTCTGTTCTTCCCTCCCGTTAGTAGATTTGCCTGAAGGTTTATGGCTGTACTTTGTTGTAAGTTCAACTTTCGCTTCATTCTGTGTAGAATTTCTCAGTAGGTCCAGGCCTAGAAATGTTATGTAGTGTGTGTAAGTGAAAAATGTCGAATAAGAAGTAAGAAAACAAATTAACATTGAAATTGGATGGCTTAAGAGACTGGACAAAAAGGAAAATATTAATAAAATTGCTATGGATTTAGGTGTTGGACAAAATGTTGTGAGTTGTAAATAATCTATGGCTTCTGTAAAACTCCACATTTTCAGTAATTCTCAGTCACTCTTTCAGTTTACATTAAGTCAGGTTTGTGAGGTTACTGTATTTGTTCACCAAAATATAAAGCACAAGCCTTATTAGGAAGTAAAATGTAGCAGTCATATTTCAATAAGTAAAAGAAAAGTATGTATACATTGCTTTATTCAGCATTACACTGAAGTTAATAATTCGTGTTCCACCTGTGAAATCCTTTTTTGAAAATTAGAGTCGGCGACTTCATCTGAATGATGGCAATCAATACCTCTTTTGAAAGAATGCATAAGAGGAATTGAACAGAAGGATTGATTATAACTGAAATGATAGCATAGCAGAAGCTTCATTGACCGGGACTGAAGGAATGTTTTCTATTTTTGAATGTACGCACAGTAAATTGAGAAAGCGGTCAGGGGTTGAAATGGAAGCAGTATGTTTTGTTTGTTTAAAGCACTGAGTGCAAATGCCAGTAATGAAGGTAATATTTGATCAACTGGTTTTGGAAATGTTATGTAGGCTGCAGATAAAAGTGCCAATGTTATGATGTTTACATTTACTCTGATATAAAATTGATTTATATAAAAGATGTAACTACAAGAATTTGTTTTCCTTTTTTGTCTTTTTTTGTTGTTTGTATTTGTTCTAGTATACATTTAAGATACCTAAGTGATTAAAGTAATTTGCAAGTTATTAATGTCCATAAGGTACCAAGTTGTTTTATTGTGTTTTTTGCTACTAATTAATTAAATTATATGAAATTTGTATTATCTCTAATTGTAAATTAATGTATTAACATACATATAAAAATACATGGTATGTATTAATTAATATTAGTAATAATAATTAGAGGCTAAATTAATTAGCCCATAACGGCATGGCAAACATTTAATTAGTAATGTAGGCGAGAAAACTGATTTAAATAAAAAAATCTGATTTAAAAAATTTTTTAAACATGCATTTTTTTATTCCTTTTATTTTAAGTCCACACGAAGAAATTTGTATATTGTAAGGATATACTTTCCAGGATGCAGAACAAGTGTAAACAAGAATCATTAGTTTCTAAATAACTATACTAATTGCATAAAAATGCAGAATCTTTATTAATTTATTTCAACCCCCATTTTAAAAAACTTTACTTTCAAAATGATATAAATATCTAATTACAGCTTTTGAAAAGTTTAATTATGTTTCTTCAATATTCCTGAATTCTAATATGAGGCTTTTGCTTTCGTGAAGTTTGGTCGCTCTTGTTGTAACAGAACAAAATGATTCAACTGCTTGGATATAAGATGTACTTATAAGTTACTTGTGATTATTGTTTATGTAAGAGAAAGTAGCATTTTAGTTAAGATAAGTTAAATGTGTGTAATTGTTCTTTAAGGTCTAATTTTCATTTATTTCATTAAAATAAGTCTTTTTGTTTAGGATATTTGATTAGCTTAATGTATATTTTTCAATAAGTGTTTCAAAACAATATTAATGAATGTAGTTATGCATTTGTTTGGACTCTTAATAGCTAAGAAATCTATGGTGGTTATGTTTCAAAGCTGCTAATGCCATATTATTATACCGCTATTGATTGTATTTCTGTAACTCTTCTTGCAATAGAAGTATGCAATATATTTTATTTGATTACTATAATGTTATTTTTTTCCTCTTATGACTGCATTGTACTCAGCATTGTGACTTACAAAATTGAATTTTATTCTGTATCATTTAGTTTAATTTCTCTCTTGTATTTTTCTTCCAGGGAAATCTGCAATTAGAGCTTTTGCTTTTTGTAATGGCATTACCAGTTCATGGTGTTGACTTGTGCATTCAGCGTTTGTCAAAGCGAGCTATAATATTTGCAAATCGTTTATTTCAACATGTAAGTTTCATTCCCTTTTTCTGTAAACATTAATATATTCTGATATATGTATTTTGAAAATATGCATAAAGTTAGTTCATCTTTGTTATCTGTGACATTCGATATTTACTGAAGCGATAGACAGAGTGAAAATGATAGAACTCGAACATAATCCCCCAAACCTGCACGACTTTATCTTGTGTCAAGATTTTATAACAAAAGATGTATTTTTTTAGCTATGTCAGACTCTAAAAAAATTACAGGAAAAATCGGAAGTTTTTTTCAATAAAAGATAAATATCAAATGAGACTAAAAAATTGAAAAGAATCAGAGTTTCCGATATAATCAAAACCTCCCATTAGAATTAAGTGCATTTCTATCATGACCCCTGCTAGAAGGAGCATTAAATTAAAGATTCATTTCCATATGAAATGGTGATGTTTTCATTCTTTACAAATTCAAAATATTATAAATCAAAATATTATTAAAAGGATTCAGGAGGGTAAACATGTAACTCCTGGAAATATATAAAGTTATTCCACTATAATATAATCTATCTATTTATCTTTTTTTAAAATTTTACAGTACAGTATTTACTATCTGTACTATCTGTAAATCTAGAACTTCCTAAATATTCAGTATTATATTTTGCAGGTAAGCTATTGACCATTTTAATTTTATTGACCTAATTTTAATTAATATTTAATTACTGAATTAATTTAAATTCTGTTAGCTCCAATTATAAGGAGAAATGCTTTTAAGGTCTTTTCTCTCAACAGTTAGGTGAATTACCTATGTAATTATCTCCAGTTATAAGGAGAAATGCTTTTAAGGTCTTTTCTCTCAACAGTTAGGTGAATTACGTATGTAATTATTAACTATATTTAAAGTGTTGTGTTTCTTAATTTCTTTGTACAAATCTTGTGTAAATTCTAAGTTTAATTAGGGAGATGATTTGCTGTATAACATAGTTTATGATATATCAGATGTGTTTCTTCACAATATTTGCATATAAATATTACATTTTCACAATCATGAATCTTCTGTGAAAATTTTTGTTTTTTTGTTTTTATAAGTTCGTTAATCTTGCTTAAATGTATATACTCACTAATTTCGATCTTATATATAACCCACTGTGGTTTTGTAAAGAACTTATTTAAATCTGCTGTTTTAGAGTCCTTCATTTATTATAAGTAAAAATTTAAAACTTACCCAAATACACACCACTGAAAGTAATCTTGATGAATTTCTAAACTTTAAACAATAATTTCAAGCATTTTTAAGGTATGCACGTATTTGAGTTAATACTGTAATATTAATTCTCTCATAATTTCTTTTAATAAAGCTACACATTACTTGTCTGTATAAATCTAGATTACACCAGTTTGTTTTATCTTCATATTTATTTAAAATGTTTTCACTTAAATTTTGATGTTTAATTATTTCATTCCAATCTATTACACATTTCAGTTCTTCAATAGTATTTTTGGATAAGTTCTGGTATCTAGAAGCTAATATTATATTTAATTTCTTAAAATTTTCTAATATGAATTTATCAATTAAAGTTTGATATTCTGAAATTATATCACAATCATTTTTTCCATTGTTATCTAAAATTAATTTTTTATATCTGGATAAAATACTCCAATTGATAAGATTTTTCATGCATAATCATAAAAAAGTTTGGATCATTTTTAGTAAGTTCTACATACATATCCCAATATACTCTATATTCAGCAATGAAAGACTCAGATAATTCTTGATACCCCAATATCCATTTATTAAGGATGAAAATTCAGCAGACAGTACAGCTGATGCTTCTGAAGAGGTTTCTAGTCTATCATTTCAGTTTTCAAATAAGGTTCAATAATAATTACCTTCTTTGTTCAAACTTCTAATATAAACTCATCACCTTTACTAATATACATAAACATGATTTATATTTATTTGTATATGTATTAAAATCAAAAATTGAATGACCCTTCTTAATTTCAGCTTTGAAAAATTCTGAAGTGATTTGAATAAATCCGTATATTACGAATTCAGAACCTTCATTCACTATTCTATATTTTATAAATTTTGAAAGTTTAATAATAGTCCATTTTTACCAAGTTGAAGTTCAATAGCAGCAGGTGAACTAGTGGCATATAAAGGACCAAATTCATTTGAATAAATTACATCATTAATAATATCATAAACTTTTTCATAGTAGCATCTTGATCTTTTATTGCATTTGTAGCATTTTCTATTCTTTTCCCAGTTGCTTCTATAATATCTTTAATATGCAAATATTTATCATCTAATTTCTTCTTTCTTTTTGTTTAGTTTCTTAGGTTTAAGAATTTTGAGAGTATCTTCTCTTTCAATATCTTTTAAAGAGGGTATAGTTTTCTTCTAATGTAGAATATTCAGATTCATTAATATGTTTGCACATATATATATATATAATGCATTAAAAATGTAAATAGTATTTAATTAATATTATTGTAATACTAACATAATTGTTTTACCTGAACCTGAATCAGGGTTGCCACGCTACCTGGAAAACCGGGAAAAGTCAGGGAATTCAAAAATTGACCAAAATATTCAGGGAAAAGTCAGGGAATTTAAGTATTTTTGTCAAAATCTGGAAAAGTCAGGGAAGTTCATACAACGATCCCGCCAAAAAAAGCGATTTTTGCGCCGACGTCGGAAGAGGTAACTTTTTTGCCGAATTATGTATCACGTGAGTGTCATTCGGGTAGCTGGCATAGAGCCAATTTTCGCAGCTCCAATTTGATTGTCTTTTAGAAAGGCAAAGCAACTCTCCCGCAACTTTTGGTTTCCAGTATTCTCGAGAATCGCATGTGCAGTGCATGAACTAAAGAAAGTACCTGTTCTCATATAAAACAAAATGGGTTTAATCCTAGTATATGGTACTATGGAGGTTAGAATCAAAGAATATGTATTGTAAAGAAGGAAAATGTCTCTGCAACAGACGTGGCTGTGGCTCCATTCCATCATAGAGGGAAACAGCTGTGCATGTCTGATATATCTGTCGCCAAAGCTCGAAACCGGTGTCGAAGTTCGAAGGTCACGTTATCGAGAGTTCATAAAATGAATATCGTTTAAAATTTCTTTAACCACTTGCGCTAAAAAGACGTGCCACGCACGTCAAGATGCTTTTGTCTCAAACCGCGAGCGACGTGAACACGTCGATAAGCATTTATCGCAAAAATGAAAATAACGTGGTGCACACGTCGCCTAACAACGAGATTGTTTATTTCTCGAGTTACAGCTCTGGATTGCACTCGCAGATGCGGAGCGGCGTAAATGAGACACTTTACCGCTTGTTATATTGTAGCGCACGGCACCGCAACCGTGAAGTTTAGTCTTAGCGCAAGTGGTTAAACTCTAAAGGAAAAGAAAATATTTTTTGGCGCAAGTAAATTAATTCAGGGATTAGTTATTTTCAGAGGAAAAAAAAAAAAAAAAAACTACAAAAATCCGTTTTTAAAATTATTGCGAAAAATCCAAGAAGAAACGTCCTTTGATAAAACGTTTTTTCGCAATAATTTAAAAACGGATTTTGGTAGTTTTCTTTTTGTCAAAGAGCGTTTCTTCTTAACACGTGTTTCTCAATTTCCTGTACACATCGCGGAGAGGATAATTCTGACCGCCAGGTTCCGTCGCCAAATCCCTTGGCAAATTTTCCCTCCGCATTCTAGCGGCGTAATAGCATTTTACTTGTATGGTACCTTTTCTTCTTTACATAGACGTTCTTTGTTGTTTAGAATAATAATGGGATTTGGCGACATCTTGATGCGCAGTAAACGGGTCATTTTAGTCTTGGCGACAATTTTCAAAATCGTGCCAAGGCCTTATTACAATAAGGCCTTGGCACGATTATACAATAAGGCCTTGGCATAACAATAATATTACAATAAGGCCTTGGCACTAGTATACATACTAGAATTTTACCGCAAAATCTTTTAAAACTTTTTTTTTTCTTTTTTAAAAATACCTTGTCATTTTGCAGTAAAATTAAAAAATAGTAATCAGTCTAATGATGTAATATAACTATATTCGCTAAAATATAGATGATTATTCTAATTCAATTTTTAAGTAATTATTTTTATGTTATTCATATAATTTAATGTTGCGTCTTCCCTCTAAATTTATTTATTATTAGTAAATAATATTTCCAAATTTCAGGAAATTTTCTCTGGCATAATCCTGAAATTAATTATAGCAGTATGATGACATACCATCACGAAATTTAATGCACATTTTTTCCTTATGTATGCTGCAAAATAAATATAAAATACCTCAATTTATTAAAATAGATTTCTTTCTTTCATTTAGCTGCAGAATGTCTGCAAAAAAAGCCTTATTTTATTCCAGATTGGGAAGATTCTAATCTCAATCTTCAGTGGAGAAAACAACAACTATTATAATTATATTTGTGTTTTCAAGTGTTAAGGTTTTAAGAACATACCTCACGCAAATTAAATTTACCTAAAATCTAACCTAACTATTTAGCATTGCATTGTGATTTATAAGGACCGGATTAGCCTCGTGTTGAACTGGTGATGATCATGAGTAATAATTAAATAAAACATACATTTGTTATCCAATATATATATCTTAAATTTTATTAAGTTTCTTAAGTGGAAAACTAAACAAAGTTATCAAACAAAGTATACCAAGAATAATTAAGAATAAATGTCCTCTGGGATTTATTGAATAATTAAGTGAATTTGCTACACAATACAAGTAATACCATAATTAATTTACCTCTTAGCACAGCCAACGTACATTATGCGGATAGACTGGAATTTTCTTGAAACACACCTGGAAAACCTGGAAAAGTCAGGGAATTTCATTCTCCTGTTTGAGTGGCAACCCTGCTGAATCTTCAACGATTACAAGTTTAAAGGTGTGAATCTGTTATAAAGAATGTTAATCTGGGTCTGTAAAATCATCATCATCGTCATCTTCATCATCATCTAATATTATATGAAGATATTCTCTCTATCTCTTTTTTGTTATTGTTGATTTCATGTATTAAGGATGAATTTACAAGTAGTACATAAAAATTTACAACTAGTAAAAAGAGACAGAATTTAGTGAATGAGAAAGAAAACTCTAAAAAATTGAAGATAAAAGATTCAGTTAAAAATTTACTTAAACAGATTTTAAAAAATAATGAAGAAAAATTAGGCATTCAAAAATCGTGAGAGGATTTTTATAAACCAAAGAAATAAAAAATTATGAAAAATCACTGAAAGGAATTGTAAAAAATATTCAAGAAGCTATTGGAATTATTTAATTTCCTACATTCAGATCAAGATTTCTACCTGAACTAGAATAAGCAGATAACCAGAAAACCACAAATTCTTAATGAACTTATGAAATTTTTAAACATGCCCAGACTACTTCAGTTATTAAAAAATTGTTCATTTGGATCCAGAAAATCTTCATTCTCAAATATTAAAAACATGTTTGAAAGAAAATACACCATTTTTCAATATTTTATATAAGAAACAACAACCAGTTATTTGGAGGTTTTCAGCATTTTATATTACCTATTTTAGCGTCATTCGGATTAGGAGCAGTGAGTGGTTTAGGTTCTTATACACCTCAGAAACTTTTAGGAAAAGGAATGCGTCAATGTTTTGAATACGTGGATGGATGTTCAAGAGCTCCACTAAGCTGAAAAAAATCTCAAGGATATAATAAAAAAAAAGAAAAAAAAAGAAAAGAAAAGAAAAGAAAAGCCATTGGAAAATTAAAATAACTGAATTGGTAATTTAAGATCAAATGATAAAAGAAAATACAAAAAAAAAAAAAAAAAAAAAAAAGGGAAAAGAATTTAGAGGTGTATTTTCATCAGATACATTATCTAAAAAAATTTTAAAATTTGAAAGTGGAATCTTTAATTTATATGCATCTAGAGGTCCTGGAACATGCTGGGCTCCTTACTATAATGATTCTAAATATAAATATTGTAGAATATTTTGATCCTTTTGGGGAATATAAACAGGACAAAATTAAATTTAAAAAAAAAATTTATCCCTGATAATATTAGGAAGTTTCTTAATTCATCTAATATTATATATGTATATACTTTTTGTAATGATGCTTTTTTACAACATCCTACTACTGTAAAATGTGATTTATATTGCATGAAGTACACTTCTGAGTGAAATAAATCAATTTCTCCAAAAGACATATTTGCTTCTTTTACAGATCATCCTAGCAAACATAATGAAAATTTAGTTCTAAAGGCGTTAAGATTTTTCTGAATTTACACCATAATAAATGAATACATTAATATTAGGAGCAAGAGAGAAATCAGAAAAAAATATTGCTGAATTTTCAAGAGCTCTTCAGTGTACAAAAATTGCTTTAAAGGAATTTAATATTGAAGTATCATGGTATAATCTTTGTTACCTTTATGGAAACTTTGCTGTGCGAGAAACTCTATTATCAATTTGTTCATTGACAGCAGAAATTCCTTCTTTGGTTTGTTGATCGACAGCAGAAACTCTTTTTTGAATTTCTCCAACTTTATCTTCAATCATGTCTCTTTTGCCTTCCCTAGACTCGATTTTGTTTCTTCTTATGGCAGTGATTTGCATTTTCATTTCCTCTTGACCTGCTTCAGTCTTTTCTTGGCCTGCTTACATCTCTTCTTGAACAGTTTTCATCTCCTCTTTAACTGAATTTATGGCCCTTCTATCTTCTCATGGAAAGCAGGAAAGGCTGTCACCAGCTTAGTTGCTCGTTAATACCTTTTGTCACTGGCATTCGGTCCCACTTCTGACACCAAAACTTGTTGCATGTCTATGGTTTGTATATGGACTGAATGTGCTTAGAACTGATGATAGTTTGATAAAATTTATTTTTCGAAAAGAAAGACTTAACAGTTCTTTAGCTTTCCACAAATTTATTTATACAGCTCTTCTCAATATGACAGAGCACAATGAGTAGTTACCACTTCAAAGTACTAAGAACGTCAAACACAAAGCACTGCAAAGTGCATCTAAAGAGTGAAACTCTCATGAAGATATCAATACTTCGATGTCAACTCTGAGATAAAAAAAAAATCTGAGAACTGATACTTTTATTGGTCTTGTATAGTTTTCCTGGCCGCCGAGAAATCTCTAGTATCTTCCATTTCTTGAAGGCATATATAGTTAAAGTTACATATAAGGGCAGGATGCAGTTACATGTAGGGATCTATTATAGTGCCAGTTATAGTTATACAGGGACTGAACCAAAATGTCACCAAATGGTCACGATATTTGACGATTATTCTGAGTTTGACCACAAATTTTAGTCTCTAAATCCATTGCCAGCTTGGCGATATTTTGCCACTTTAATGAGATAGCTAATTACCTCAATGTTAGATGTGCCCTTGTAATCTTATTTTTATAACAGACCTTTGTTGTCTTTCATGGTACGTTATACAAAAGATACTACAATTTCGTACATAATTTCACTAAAATTATTTACATATATACAAAATTCCTAACAATAATTTGGGCAAGACTATAGATAATCAACAATTCTGTATCTAAGTAAGGCTGTTAAAGTTTGGTATACTTTCAGTTTTTGTCTATAGATGTCAGTTTTCGATGTTATTGAACTGTTGTGGCAGTACCTTCAAACTGAAAATTGTTTAATTGGATTGGCCACCATGCTTGCCTGACCTCAATCTTATTGTGCCTGTCTGGCTATCTTAAGTCAGTGAGTTGTGGAGCACTACCTCCATTCCCCAGAACACTCAAAAACATAGATCTGCCCTCTTAGAAGAATGGCGTTTTACATCGCTGGATTGAATTAATTTATTAATAATATCAAAAGGTGTTATAAGATGAGAAAAGGCCATGGAACCCATTAATAATTATATCTTCTAATGGTGATATAATTATTTGATGATAACAGAAATGATAGTTTCCTGCTTTAGAGTTTTGTCCATAGTTTGGAATTAGCAGCAACACTTTTGCATTATTCAGTTTGAAAAACATTATACTTTTATTAATGCTTATGTACAATTCTTACGTGATCTGGGGGAAAAGTTTGGTTTGATTTAATAATTCTTTCATTTGGAACACCAGTATATCCAAGTAATCTTTTATGGTTTGGTGCCTTTTCACATTAACCTTTTTCTCTTTCACTGAATGTGCCTACACCATATGCATTGTTAGTTCTGAACAGTGCTCATAACAGCATTCAAATGGGTATTGAAGCCTCACTTGGTAGTCATTCTCTGCTAAATATCATGTAGTGTGGTGTGGCTTTAAACAAAACTCGTGCTAACATTGGTTTTATAGGAAATCTCTATGCATTTTGAGAGAAACTGGCAAAATCTCTCCTCTGTATGGGGAAAAAAAAATACTCTGTCAAAAGAAGATTCTTTAATTTATTATTATTATTATTATTTTAAGAGCAAAATTTTATTCCAGATAGGCCAAGCAAAATTGTCAAGATAATTAAAGAACACGAAAAATTTATGAAATATTAGAATTCTGAAATTAAAAATTAGCCTTGGATATTCTTTTAATCAATATTTTTTTTTAAATTTGAATTGATATTTCAATTTTATAGTGAGCAAAGAATAAAATCTCAGATACTAAAGAAATGTTGGTTTCAAATATTGTTACAAAATGTTTTTAAATGTTTGATGAATCATCATTTATTCAGAAACTGATATTTTCTCTTTGCTTTTGTCCCGCTGGGCTGTGGATTGTTAGCATGAGATCTGCATGTCTTTTTCCATGGGAGTTATGAGTCCTTTTTTTGGAGGGGGGGGGTAAAGTCACAAAAGCACTTCCTTCTTGTCAGATGGCCACCAAGTGTGCCATAATTAGTGAAGTAACCTAAATTGCTGTTTCATTTGAATTTTATGCATGTTTGACATTTGGAAGTATAACCTGAGGCTAGAACATCATATTAATCCATGCAGGAATTGTACTTATTCACTTGCTTAAAATTTGCCTTTTTGCAACTTCTTTTAATTATTTACATTTTTTGTTTGAAAATCTGAAATCATTTAAATAAATATTATTTTATATATATTAAATTTGTTTAATAAATATTATTTTATGTAGACAAATGGTAATTTTTTTTTTTTTTTTTTTTTTTTTTTTTTGTCTCAGGAATCCACATGGGACTATGAGTTGGAAGATATGACCAATATTTATCACTCCCAGCAAAAAAAGAAGGCTGTGTTTACATTTCATAAACTTTGCTTGGAGGCTATTTTGGCTCATTCTGCTGTAAAATCGCATAAATATATTATGGTTGAAAATGGGGTAATGAAACTGTTGTTAAAGATATTAAAATGTCATGAAAATGATTATCAATTTCAAAGTCTGATTGCTCAAATTCTTGCAAATTTTTCATTGGAAGAAGAATTTACAAAAATATTTTCTGTTACAGGTAAATGAAATTTCTTCCTTCCCTAGATTATTATTTTGAATTTTATTCTGTTTTCTTGTATTTTTAATTTAAATTTTGCTTCTTGTTTTGTATTACATTTGAAATAATAATGATTTGACATAATATAAATTGTAATTTTTATCTCATTTTTCAGTTTAATTTTTTTGTTTTACAAGGTGTAAAAATAAAGTAATGAGACTTTTTTTTAAATAATTTTTATTCATTTAAAATTGCAGTCTCGAATTAATCACGTTGGGAAGCCAAAACAGCATTGGAAATGATAGCACCATTGGAAACTCTTCATAGCATTGCTGGAACTTAGATCTGAAATTACTTTCAGTTGGTTTGTTACAATCATTTTAATGTTTCTAGAGTCTCAAAATCGCCCTTTGAAGCTGAGCCATAGGAATGTTCTTTTGCCCAAAATTCATTAATTGAAAATGCAGTGTAACAAGATGCATAGTCTTGAAGCAGTACCCAATTGGTTTTTATTCTTGGTCTTCATACACATGACTGTTTTTTGAAGTCTTTCAAGAAGTTGTCTGTAAAAGTGTTAGTTTATTGTTTGGCGTGGAGCCACGATTCCCTTGCCATCAAAAAAGCAAATCTGCGTATTTTTTATCTTTTTTTTTTTTGTGTGTGTGTGTGTGTGTGTATGTGAGTTTGAAGTGGGCCATTCCTGGCTCTGGCACTTCGTTTCAGGGGCCTACCTGAATGCCCAATACTCATTGCCAATAATGACATATTCTAGAAAATGAGGATCACTCTCAATCCACTCTAAGAAATCAAATCATTTTCCCCTTCTGTTCTTCTTTTGTACTGAAAAATGGCTTTTCAGAACAGTTTTTGCATAGATTTTTTTATCCCCAATTCATTTGTCAAAATCTGATTAAATTCTTCAATAATTATGACTGTTAAGTGATGATTAGAACGCACAAGATCCCACATTCTGGCAACATATTTGTCATTTCTTGCAGTTGTTCCTGATTTTTTTCAGCAGATCTTTCCTAGTGAGATTCATTTTCAATAGATTCCCTTCCTTCTGAAAATTCTATAAATTGTATGCATACAAAACATTGTATGCATAGGCCTCCTGAAGCTTTGAAAAAGTGTTTAAGCAAAATCTGATTGCACAGCATACCTCATTGTCACTATATTTCAAAATGCATTGGGGGGAACGGTTCCATGAAAAGAAATCCGAGGGACAACTGTATTACTGTATGCAGTTGAAGTTTATGCTGGCTGTGCACTGAATGTTCTGTAGGGGCTATTGTGGGTTACAGGTGGCAGGTAGCGCAACTGACTTCTTATAAATAATAATTGGGTACGTTTGTGAGGTTGTGTGATACTTACTGCATTCAGGGTTGCCACGCTACCTGGAAAACCGGGAAAAGTCAGGGAATTCGAAAATTGACCATAATATTCAGGGAAAAGTCAGGGAATTTAAGTATTTTTGTCAAAATCTGGAAAAGTCAGGGAAGTTCATACAACGATCCCGCCAAAAAGAAGCGATTTTTGCGCCGACGTCGGAAGAGATAACTTTTTGGCGAATTATGTATCACGTGAGTGTCATTCGGGTAGCTGGCATAGAGCCAATTTTCGCAGCTCCAATTTGATTGTCTTTTAGAAAGGCAAAGCAACTTTCCCGCAACTTTTGGTTTCCAGTATTCTCGAGAATCGCATGTGCAGTGCATGAATTAAAGAAAGTACCTATTCTCGTATAAAACAAAATGGGTTTAATCCTAGTATACGGTACCATGGAGGTTAGAATCAAAGAATATGTATTGTAAAGAAGGAAAACCTCTCTGCAACAGACGTGGCTGTGGCTCCGTTCCATCATAGAGGGAAACAGCTGTGCATGTCTGATATATCTGTCGCCAAAGCTCGAAACCGGTGTCGAAGTTCGAAGGTCACGTTATCAAGAGTTCATAAAATGAATATCGTTTAAAATTTCTTTAACCACTTGCGCTAAAAAGACGTGCCACGCACGTCGAGATGCTTTTGTCTCAAACCGCGAGCGACGTGAACAACCACGTCGATAAGCATTTATCGCAAAAATGAAAATAACGTGGTGCACACGTCGCCTAACAACGAGATTGTTTATTTCTCGAGTTACAGCTCTGGATTGCACTCGCAGATGCGGAGCGGCGTAAATGAGACACTTTACCGCTTGTTATATTGTAGCGCATGGCACCGCAACCGTGAAGTTTAGTCTTAGCGCAAGTGGTTAAACTCTAAAGGAAAAGAAAATATTTTTTGGTTCAAGTAAATTAATTCATGGATTAGTTATTTCCAGGAAAAAAAAAAAAAACTACGAAAAACCGTTTTTAAAATTATTGCGAAAAATCCAAGAAGAAACGCCCTTTGATAAAACGTTTCTTCTTGGATTTTTCGCAATAATTTAAAACGGATTTTCGTAGTTTTCTTTTTGTCAAAGAGCGTTTCTTCTTAACACGTGTTTCTCAATTTCCTGTACACATCGCGGAGAGGAAAATTCTGGCCGCCAGGTTCCGTCGCCAAATCCCTTGGCAAATTTTCCCTCCGCATTCTAGCGGCGTAATAGCATTTTACTTGTATGGAACCTTTTCTTCTTTTACATAGACGTTCTTTGGTTAGAATAATAAGAAGATTTGGCGACATCATGATGCGCAGTAAACGGGTCATTTTGGTCTTGGCGACAATTTTCAAAATCGTGCCCAAAGCCTTACCGTATACTAGAATTTTACCGCAAAATCTTTTTAAACCTTTTTTTTTTTTTTTTTTCTTTTTAATAAATACCTTGCCATTTTGCAGTAAAATAAAAAAATAGTAATCAGTCATCTAGGCTAGCCATGTAATATAACTATATTCGCTAAAATATCGTTGATTGTTATAATTCAATTTTGAAGTAATTATTTTTATGTTATTCATATAATTTAATGTTGCTTCTTCCCTCTAAATTTATTTATTATTAGTAAATAATATTTCCAAATTTCAGGAAATTTTCTCTGGCATAATCCTGAAATTAATTATAGCAGTATGATGACATACCATCACGAAATTTAATGCACATATTTTTCCTTATGTATGCTGCGAAATTAATATAAAATACCTCAATTTATTAAATTAGATTTCTTTCTTTCGTTTAGCTGCAGAATGTCTGCAAAAAAGCCTTATTTTATTCCAGATTGGGAAGATTCTAATCTCAATCTTCAGTGGAGAAAACAAAAACTATTATAATTATATTTGTGTTTTCAAGTGTTAAGGTGCCTTTTAAGAACATACCTCACGCAAATTAAATTTACATAAAATCTTAACTATTTAGCATTGCGTTGTGATTTATAAGGACCGGATTAGCCTCGTGTTGAATTGGTGATGATCATGAGTATTAAATAAAACATACATTTGTTATTTAATGTATATATCTTAAATTTTATTAAGTTTCTTAAGTGGAAAACTAAACAAAATTATCAAAGTATACCAAGAATAATTAAGAATAAATGTCCTCTGGGATTTATTGAATAATTAAGTGAATTTGCTACACAATACAAGTAATACCATAATTAATTTACCTCTTAGCACAGCCAACGTACATTGTGCAGATAGACTGGAATTTTCTTGAAACACACCTGGAAAACCTGGAAAAGTCAGGGAATTTCATTCTCCTGTTTGAGTGGCAACCCTGATTATTGAACTCGAAACATATTATTACAATTACGAGGAGCTCTTTATATGTATATAGTATATAATTCATGGATAGTGTGGACAGTTATTGAAAGGAATTATAGTTCTCATAGTGTGAGGAGCTGGCTAATGAGCTTCCCTAGTCGAAAGCTCAAGAGCACTGTAGGTCTGTATGATCGAGAGTTCAGGAGCCTTCTGACATCTTGTTCTGATGGAAAATTTTTTTAGACATTTAGGCATGCCTCCTTAATTTTTTTGTTGTATTTTACATCCTCTAATTCGTTATATGTGAAATGATATCAGAGGGAAAACAAAATCGTTCATTGGTTTGTCAACCCTCCTGAAATCAAGAGAATTTGATGACAGACGCAGTATGTAGAACTCTAAAAATCTTCTGACACTAGTTGTGAAGTTATGTCTCTTGCACTGTTAACTGGAATGAATTATTGCATCTGCGATGTTAGAAGCATGGTGTGTGACAGAAAACCTTGGAAGCAGTGACTTGCGGGGACCACACACAGGATTTTCTCATCTCCCTGTAGTCCACTGCATACTCCCCTTCTGTTATCAGCATGATGATACATAAAAATCAAGGAAATGCACGTTGGCCCGAACGTGTTTGATGAATATTTGGTTTGGCATGATGGGCAGATCTAGGTTTCAAAGTATCAGGAAAGCGAGTAGCCATGTCTGTATTCAACAGAAATGCTGGTTTCACCGGTCAGTTGAGACTGAAATAATTTTTCCATGAATGGATAATTTGAGCACTTTTCCACCATATTTGAGAACTTTAAAGGGCCATCGTATGGAACTTTTCAGATGACCCAATAATTCTCATGTAGTCCTACCAAGGAAATCAGGAATGTTTTATTCTTATTCCTGCTTCCGTAATTATTTATAATTTAAGTAGAGAAATTTTTTTTTTCATTAAGGGAAACAGGAAACTAAACTTCTTCCTTGTAAACAAACACATCTGAAAGTTATTAAACACTTTAGTATATGTTAAAAAAAACTGTAGTACAAATTATTCTCAAAATAATTCATTAAATGTATGTTACTAAGGATAAGAATGTCAAATGATTTCTTTAGGTTTTGCTCTTAATTTTGAATGTGCTTCTATATGTAGGATTATAAATACATTTCTTTCTTAGTATTTTGTTGTTCAGTCAATGATGTATTTTTACCTTTTTTGCAAATAATTTCCATTCTTTAAATCTTTTAATATTTTAGCATAAAAACTTGTGCTTACTCTTAATTTTGAGTGTGCTAGGTCTATTCTTTAAATCTTTTAATATTTTAGCATAAAATCTTGTACTATAATTTTATGAACTAATACTAAATACAGAATAGAAAAATAATATAGTAAATTTTGGATAAATAAATAACCCTTGTAACATATTTTATACTTTAAAATTATTTAGGTTGGATTGGCATCTTAGCATCATGGAAAATATCTCCATATGTTGAGGTTAATCTTCCAGCTGCTAAAGCTCTTGCAAATCTAGATAAGGATGATTTTCATCATTCATTGTATGACAGTGGAGTTTATCTACTTCATCCTCACAATAGACAAGGGTATTGAAATATGTTGAATTCATCCTTTTAATTTTATTTTCATATTGGGGTTTCTTTTTGATCCCCTCCAAAAATACTAATTTCCGAGAAACAGATTTTTTAACTATGACTATGTATCCAGTTGTTAAAAAAAGTGTGCATTGAAAAATAATATGTAAGGAAATGTGTCTTCCCTCTCCTCCCTAAAAATTTTGTTAAACAAAATATGTTCCTTGTTGTATTGCTTTTTGCTATTTGTAATGTTAAATTATTTTCCATCCTTTTGGAGTTTTACAAGATTCAGTTAAAAAACTATCCGCATGTTCATGGTCTTAATGGATTTGAAGTGTTTTCTGAGAAAGTGGTAGTTTGAAAGAATATGTAGAGAATATCCTGTTGAGGTAAGACATCTCACATAAATGCGAGCAGCTTTATGTTTACAAAGACACAATAGCTCTGGCACTGATTTGCTATAGCAAGTGCCAGTCCTATATTTGTTTATTTTAATTTGGAAGAAGTGCACAAATGCTGTCTACCTAGGCTGCTTCTCAAGTTAGACTGAGAATATCCTAGAGTATAATACCAGCCTTGAAGCAAGGCACTTTTTCTTGATTGGTATCTGTAGACCTAAATTGGAGGATCTTTAGAGACTGCACTTACCAGAATCGTGACTCCATCAATGCATTGTGTTTTAGTCCCTAACAATGATCTATCCATTGTTTTGAGCTTTTTAAACAGTAATAAATGGGTTAGCATAAATTTTGCATAAGGCCTTCATTCCTTTTGGTTATGCAGCTGTGAGTTGTACATGGGGCTATCCCATCTGGTTGTTTGAAAAGAACTCATACAGCTTACATTCATGTATACCTTAACAGCTGTGTTGAACATTGAGTGAAATGTTCTTTCAGTGCAGTCCCACTTTAAAATTTGCTGGGGGGTATATAACAGTGTTGTAACATTACCTTTACATCACTTTACATCAACACACTCTTTATTAATGTTGCTTTTCAGTGTTTTAGAACCATGTCACATCTGTTTGATTTGTTTTATAACAGGGATATAGAATCTCTTGTTTTTGGCTTTAATTGTCTATAGTATCAACTAATCCTACCAAGAACTTATTTCATGTTTTTGATCATGAAATCTGAAAAGCTGTATGTAATATCTGTGTAGTATAATACTGTATTGGCCAAATTCTTTGCATAAGTTCTTTATCCTCAGGTAATTAAATATGAAACACGAAGCAAAATGATTATCATTGTCACTTGCCCCTCAGGGGGCTCACTTTTGTGAGTACGGGTGTGTGAGTACGGGTGTGGCAATCCCGAGGTACCCTAGCCCTTCAGGGATCATCTTCTTGGTAAGACGGGTGTCACGATCCTGGAGCTCGAGTAATCTATCCTCTTTTCTGTCTCCTCTCCTCTTGGCTAGAACTTTTTCCCTTCCCTTCTCCCTTGTGGTTTCTCTCTACGGAGTTTGGGGCTCGTCATGAGAAACTGGAACAGCCCTTGTCTCTAGTTTTCGAGTGGCGAGAAAACTGCCCACGTGTTTGCCGTGCGTGGAGACCCGTGTCGCTGGAAAGGAGGGTCCTGGTAGTTGAGGGGCGAGATACTGTCCCCAACACACTGCTTTGGCCTCTGCTTCAGCTAAACGGGAGGCACCTTAGTCGTCTTCACGGGTGTCAATCGGCTGGTCACTAGTCCTTGAGTCAGTGGCTTGGGGTCAAGCTCTCGGGAGTACCTGCTTTCGGGAAAGCCGACTGTGGGGTTTCAGTTTGCGTATAGGTCCGGCTAGCCCTAACACAGGAATCTGTGTTCCCTTTGTTGGGCTCCGTGGTGGGCAGGGCCGTCGGACCCGAATCTTTTCTTTCTTAAATATGGCTTCTCATTTTTTCTTCTCAAATCAAACGAAAACGACAAAAGTCATTGAAATAATTTGATAAATCTCTTACTAAGAAATACGTACCGATGCAAATGCCAAAGTAAATCACTGATAAATCCACGCTTCCTTGTAGTCTCTAGTCCTTCTGGTGAACTGCAAAAGATGTCTCCTTTCGTAATAAACAAATATATCCAGTTCTTGTATAGGTGAGCCAAAGAACATAAAGCGTCTCCGCTCTGGAGACCTGCTTATTGATACAATGTCTCAGCCACCCAGTCTGCTTCCCTTTTTCACAAACCAAACTTGGAAATGTAGCTCTAATGTAACTGTGTCAGCGCATAAAACACTGAATTATTGTAGAGGTGGTGATCTCTCGGAATTCGACCTTCTGTATGTTTCAGAAGAAGAGTTCGTTTCCGAGTTAGCTGACCAAAATGTCTGTGGTGCTAGGCGGATCAAGATGCGTAAGGAAGGTAAGTTGATAGACACGAAACACGTGATCCTTACCTTCAACACGCCTGATCTGCCTAAGAATATTAAGGCCGGATATCTAAATTGTCCTGTAAGACCTTATATTCCAAACCCTATGCGATGCTTTCCAATGCCAGCGTTTCGGCCATTCTAAGACGTCTGTCGTGGCAGCCTCACATGCTCCGATGCTGATTGGCCACGATTCTGAAAATTGTACCGCTGCGCCTGTGTATAAATTGCAAGGGTCAACCACCCAGCATTTTCACGCTTCCTGTCCCAAAATGGAAATTAGGAAAAAGAAGTGCAGACTGCAAAAAGTTACCAGGAACATCTCGTATGCCGAAGCCAGAAGACTAGTTCAAAGCACACAGCTACGATCAAACAAATCATATGCCAATGCTGCCGTTAAATCAACAACTCGTACATTGCCACCCAAACATCAATAGGCACACAGACTCCACCAAATAAAAACCAACACCTCAACAAGAAAAAGAAAATCCCAACCATATAACAAAATAAAGAAATAGTCAATTCAAAGCAAACCCAAAACTGTGCCTCCAAAAATAGAAACCAAAAATAGAAGTCCCAGCAATAGCTCTCTTGAAATGAAATTTTCTGAATCTGCGGATTCAGACAGTATGGAAGTAGAAGAGGGTCTAGAAGTTCCCAGGCATCTACTTCCACGAAAAAAAAGGAACACAGGAACAACAAAAACAATTCATAATGGCCACCCTCGTCTCATGGAACTGTCGCGGTTTCCACCGAAATTTGCTCGACATCAAAGCTATAATAAATGCTTATCATCCTGTGTGCTTCGCAATACAGGAAACAAATCTAAAACCAGAACAACATGCAAAACTTCGGAGGTTTTCTTTCGTCAGGAAGGATAACCTTGCAGGTGAGCGTGCCAGTGGAGGTGTAGATCTCCTCACCTCACTGGATTATCCCTCAAATGTGCTTTCTTTGACGACATCCCTCCAAGTTGTCGCTACTCAAACAAATTTTGATATTGTTGTTTCATTTGTTTCTTTGTATTTGCCTCCAAATGAGCATATTGATCAGCAAGATTTAAATGGTCTTATAGAGCAGCTGCCTGAGCCTTTCATCATAATAGGAGATTTTAACGGCCATAGTCCGCTCTGGGGTAGTAAAGATACAAATTTCCGAGGAAGACAAATTGAGCAGATGATCGAAGATCACAGCCTTTGTCTCCTAAATAATGGGCAAGATACTTACTTCCATGAGCCTTCAAGGACATTCCACGCTCTCTCGACCTTGCCATCTGTTCACCATCTCTGTTGCCATTTTGCACTTTTAGTGTCGGAAATGACCTGTACAACAGCGATCATTATCCCATTTTTGTGTCTCTTGCACGAAGAGGAGCAAAAACCCCATGTCGAGACTCCCCTCCCCTCGGTTTATACTGGACAGGGCAGACTGGGAACTCTTCTCTTCCATTGCAGAGCTCACAGAGGAAATGGTAGAAGATGTGCATATCGATGACGCTGTTGAAGCTGTTACTAATACTATTATTCAGGCAGCTATGCTTTCGATTCCTAGAACATCAGGAAAAATACTAAAATATTCGAAACCATGGTGGAATCGCGACTGTCATGAAGCACTGAAAAAACTGAAAAAACAGAAAAAAGCATGGGGTATTTTTTCGTAGATATCCTACTCTACTCTGCGAAACCTCATAGCCTTTAAAAGAGCCAAAGCAAATGCACGAAAAGTAAGAAGGCAGAGCCAGAGGGATTCCTGGATTTCATATGTGTCGTCAATAACATCCTCCACGCCTAGTAAGCGGGTTTGGGAAAGAGTTCGAAAAGCATGCGGCATATATAAAGACCACTCACTTTCCTTTTTGGAAAAAGATGGCCGAGTGATTAGCTCCATAGAAGAAATTGCGAATACTATTGGTGAGACATTTGCTGCCGTTTCTTCCAGCAGAAAACTATTCACCTGCATTTCTCTCTATCAAGCAGCACTCTGAAATAAATCCCATCGCATTCAACTCTTCCAAATCTGAGCCTTACAATAGAGCATTTACTATGCTTGAATTAAGAGAGCTTTATTGCAGACACATAGGTCTTCTCCGGGTCTTGATGGCGTGAATTATGAAATGCTAAAGCATCTGTCCTATAAGTCACTGAATGCCCTTCTCACTCTTTACAATAGAGTGTGGAAGGAGCGTATTTTTTCCCAGTGCATGGAGGAGAGCTGTTGTCATTCCTATTTGCTAAGCCAGGGAAAGATCCAAGGAATCCCTCCAACTATCGGCCAATTGCCCTTACGAGTTGCCTCTGCAAACTGTTTGAAAAGATGGTAAACAGCCGCCTAGTCTACTTCTTGGAAAAGAATGATATTATTATATCGCCTTATCAGAGCGGTGGTTTTCGAAAGGGAAGAACAACCGTAGATAACATGCTCCTCTTAGAGACATCTATTCGAAAAGCATTTGTAAGAAGAAAGCCACCTTGTCTCGATATTTTCTTCGACATTGAAAAGCTTATGATAAGGCATGGAGATACGGTATACTCCGGGATCTTCACGAGAGTGGCTTGCGCGGCAACCTACCAATTTTCATTCAGAATTTCTTGAACGCTAGAACTTTTCAAGTAAGGAATTGGCTCTGTTTTTTCGGATGTTTTTGAACAGGAAGAGGGTGT